TATATATATAATTTTCTCTGAATCTTGAAAGGCTAATTAAAATTTAAATTTAAAAGCTTGGTTTGCAAACCTCCTGTAGTTTTCAAAACATCAAATTACAAAGCGCATTTTCTTTTCAAAGTTTTGGTATTTAATTGAAGTCACAAAAGAACTTCATTAAGCACTTGATTCTGGAGTTCTAAGTGAAAAGGTAAAATGCTGCCCCACAGAGCAGAAGCATAGCCCTGATTAATCTGCTCACTAGGTGGAAAAATAAGCAATTTAAAAAAAAAAAAAAAGTTTCCACTCCTATCTTCCTCAGGTCTTTTTTCCTTATTTTAATTCCTTTCCATTTCAATTTTAAGTGAGATTGAAAATTGAGGAGAGAGAAAATGTAGTCGCAATCAGGAAAACTTGCTAGCCTTCTCAGGGCAAGTATCCAAAATCGTAAGTCCTCACTTAAGTGTCTGGAAGGAAGGCAGGAGCTTGCCTCAAACATGGCTGAGGTTTGAAAACCTCAGCCAAGTTTCTTTAGATTGAAAAAGTCAAAGCAAGGCTAAGTGTATATCTAATGAGGCAGGATGAGGAGGTGGGAAGGCAGACAGTTTGCTCAAGACACCCTTGTCTTACCATTGCCTCCCCTTAAAGCTCAGGTAGAAAACTGTTTTTTAAGAGTATGGGGATGCCACATCGTGCTTCTATGACTTTCACAGAACACTGCATTTGAAACCATTAAAGACATACAGAAGAACATATATTCAGCCCTAAGGCAAAGGTCTACACTGGCCTCAAGGCAAAACTTAAAATAACTACTTTCTGTTTTGACTCATCTATTCTTATACCTTACAAACAAGGAAAAGGTGAATATGATTCACTGTTTAAGAATTTGAGCTCCCAGTGCACAGCATGGAAGAGTTGTTTTCCAAAGTCAACTCAGGAAAAGTAGTATTAACAAATCACAGCAGATTTCCCCTCTGCAGGGTCTAGCATCTAGCTCTGCCATCAGCTGTAATATTTTTAAAAATATGTACTATGGGCAATTTATTGGATTATAGAGAAATTGGGGAGAAATAAAGAATAGTCACAAGACACACATTCTTTATAAGGAAAAATTATTCTTCTATCACCTTGGAAATAAGGAAAATAGGTTGTTAAACCAGAGAAATGAAACAATTAATCATTGAAACCCAGTTTAGCAGAGCAAGGGCAAAAAGGACATTTCCATTTACTAGAGATCAAAAAGTAACTTTTTAAGTTCTATTTGAAGAGGAACAAATTTGGTTCTGAAATAGTGAAAAAGGACTAAGAAGTAGTAATTCAATACTCAAGAACCAACAGTCACTTACTTTGTAAATGGTAGGTAGGATCTGTTTCATTTTCAGTCTGTGAAAGACAAAGACATCATAAACTGCTGAAACTGCGAGAACAGTCACTCCTTGTTCCTTCCACAACATGCTGCACCCAGCACACAGTCCCGTCCCTAGGATCCAGCCCCAAGTCCTGGCTGAGTAGCCTCTTGTAGAACAGTGTTTAATGTAGCAGAGCAAGGAGAGGAGGAAGAAGAGACTGGCTCCCACATCCGCCCTTCCCACGATTCCAGCCACCGCCTCCGTGTGAATGGGGTGAGAAGCAAACATCAAGCCAGCCATGAAGGTCCAGTATCCATCACCAAGGAGTATCTTGGAGAAGCTCGTGAACAGACCAGTAACTGCCGCATGCAAGAGGACATTGACAAGATGGTAACTCCAGGGATTCAGCCCTCCAATGGCATGGTTTACACGAAAAGAAAGAGTGCAGAGTGGCCGGTAGGACTTGTGGCTGCCACTGTGGGTTAGAAGAGTCCCCCAAAAATCATTGTAGAAAATGTGTGTCCATGGAGTTTCTGGGAGAAGGTCTTGATTAGTCTTGATAGCACGGCTACAAAACAAAATGTTAAATAAATTAAATGTAAAATACAAAAAGAAAAAAATATTACATGGCTCAGATAGTGTCTTCTTCAGAAGCTTCATTATGTGGATTTCTGATGGGATACTAGGTATGCAAAATGTATGCAATGAGGGAAGCCTTACAGGAGGCTTTCCATATAGGTTGAATCAAGACATATCTTTGTCCTCCCAAAAGCCCCCCATGAATGCTTATAAACACTAACATTATGGCTCTATTTCTTTACCTTTAAATCTTCCTTCTTGGTTAGAGTGCAAATACCTTTTAAGAATAAATGCAGAGTTTCTATCAGAGGTTTGAGCCTTAATGCCAAACCCACTGCATGAAGTCAATTCTGACTCACAGAGACCCTAAAGGACAAAGGAGAACTGACCCACAGGGTCTCCAAGGCTGTAAACCTTTTCGGAAGCAGGCTGTCACAGCTTTCTCTATTTGAATAGCATAGTTTGAACTGCCAACCTTTTGGTTAGTAGTAAAGCACTTTAACCACTGCGCATCAGTGGTCAAAACAAATGTTCATGAGAATCATGTCACGAACTCACTGAACATGCAGATTCCTGGTCCCGGATAAATGTGAGGCCAGAGAACACGCATTTTTAAGAAGCACATACCCAGGTGATACTGGTGCCAGGGAGATAATTTCAGTATGAGGACTTCTCCATAGTGAGAATAAATTTTACACTAGGATTATCAGAGCTTCTCATACCTACAAATTACCTGAGGATCTTGCTAAAATGTATGTTCTAATTCTGTAGATCGGGAGAGACTGTCTATTTCTAACGAAGTCCCAGGTGATGCAGTTGCTATTGATCCTTGGACCATACTTTGAGTAGCCAGAACTTAGAGGGCAGGGCTGTTATTGTGAGGCACCATTAAGTTTGGTCCTAACTCATGGCAACCCTATGTACGATAGAATGAAACACATCCCCATGATTGCTGCCAATCAAACCACTGTGATTCATGGATTTTCACTGGCTGATTTTTGGAATTAGATCACCAGGCCTTTCTTTCTAGTTCTTCTTAATCTGGAAGCTCTGATGAAATCTGATCAGCATCATAGCAACACGTAAGCCTCCACTGACAGACAGGTGATAGGTACCCATGGGCAGCACTGGCTAGGAGCTGAAGGTGGGCCTCCTGTATGGAAGGCAAGAATCCAACTACTGAACCAACGAGGGACAGACCAGGAAGAATGGTTCTCTACCTACTTACGAGAACCAGTGAGTTCTCTGTATGTTCAGTAAAAAGGCAGAATATCTGTTAAAATCATGTCATGCAAGATATTCAATGTAGCAGGGATAGTTAGCTATTTTCCAATACATATTCTCCCCCATTTCTATGCTATTACACCTCTAATTTTTATCTGGGCACATGGCACCTGGAAAAAAAAGACCATTATATTCCTTTGCTGGTAAATATGACCATGTGATCAATTTCTGATCAGTGGGAAGTAAGCAGAGTGATTGCAGGAAGTGTTCTTAAAAGGAAAAAATCTTTTCCTTCTTCCCCTCCAACACTACCTCCTTTCTACTGGGTGCAACACAGATGTCATAGATCAAGTTCCAGCAGCCATCTTGGCCCATATTGTTGTTGTTGTTATGTGCCGTCGACTTGGACCCAACTCACAGCAACCGCTCCTTGAGTTTCTGAGGCAGTATCACTATGGAAGTAGATTGCCCAACCTTCCTTCCGAGGAGTGGCCGGTGGGTTTGAACTGCCAGCCTTCTAGTTAGCAGTCAAGTGCCTTAGGCACTAAGCTACCAGAGCTCCCTTGGCCCATATAGTATTTTATAAAATAGAAACCAGGCAGGGCAGGGCAGTAAGATGGAAAGAAATTGAGTCCCTGTCATTGTGGACTAACAACCCTGTTTTTGTTAGCTCTCATCAAGTAAGTTCCAATTCATGGTTACCTCTCTGTTTGTTAAATATGAGAAATAAGTTGCTGTCTGGTTTAAACTGTGATATTTGGGTGTTTGTTAGTGGCAATTGAACCTAGTCATAAGTGAAATCCTTTGTTAACAGAAGACCTACATATCAGAACGGTTTGATTTTCTTTTCTGATTTTGATTTGTACAAGTCTCCGTGTATTGACTCTGTATTAAATGAATTTCCATATAAATTGGCTTTTAAAATATTAGAAGCAGATGTTATTCTGGATCCATTAAATTAAAACACCCTGCTATGACATTCATCAAGAGTCTAACCCAGAAGTAATTGCTTAAGACTTGATGGGTTATAATTAAAATTTAAAAGAAATATGAAAATCTGCCAAATACTGTTTCAGAGAGCTGACTTCAAGCAATTCCAAACGGAAACTCAACTGGCCTCTACTAAACATCAACTTAGGTAGTGATGTGAATCTGCCTGCCGTGCACGCAGACACGCTCAAACTAGCAAAGTCAGGGAAGTAGATAGCTCAGCGGCAAAATCCTCTGCGATAAAGCTTTATGAATGCAGTGAGGAAAGCTAGGCAGCACATTTACTTCAGACAATACCTCACTCTTTCAGTGGCAAGTTCATAAAAGATAGAGCCACATTCTCCAAACCAGGTTTTGTATATGCTATTAGTAGCACAGTGGCTAAAGCACTTGACTGCTAACCAGAAGGCTGGCAGTTCAAACCCACCAGCCACTCCTCGGAAGGAAGGTTGGGCAATCCTACTTCCGTAGTGATACTGCCTCGGAAACCCAAGGAGGGGTCGCTATGAGTCCGGGCCGACTCGACGGCACATAACAACAACAACAACAAATTAGCTTCATATCATAACCAACTCTGTAAGAGTCTTTTTCTTTTGGGGGAGTAGGGAGAAAAGAAATACTTTTCAAAAGTTGTTAAAAAGTGCCAGAATTTCCTACATTTGAAGCAAAATTTTTTTACATTTCTAGCAATAAATCTAATAATCTGCATATTATGTGATTGTCATAAAGTGCCAGTTTCAAATCAAATTTAACACATTTCATGATTTCCCTGTGAGAGAAACTTTGATGAGGCAGAGTCCTAAATTTTTTACATTGTACAACAAACTTAAGGAGAAAACAGTGTTAATAAAGTAAAAATGGAAGAGCAAGAGAATATCTCATCCATGTGTGCATTCGAAGGGAGACTCTAGTACGGTAAAATTCTCTGAAGGCTGTTATCTGCTCAGCGGGTTTTTTTTTAAACCAGTGAATGTTACGGCAAAAAGAACATTTTATAAGATTAAATGTTACTGGGCTTGAACATGGAAGTCATGTAGCATATGCAAGTCAATGATAAGGGTGCATTACATCACCTCCACATCATATTGAGAAAGACACTAACAAAAAAAGGCTTTACTACAATGTGAGTATTCTGCTGGAAAAAATGAAACGGAACTCATTTAACACTAAGTATGGTATATTGTCATCCACTTGCATTTTCTTATGCAAGTCTAAAATGGAAATAGTAAAACCTCTTCTGCTACTTTTCTGCTAATGAAAAACCTTAACTTGAAATCAAATTTCATGCTGATATTATTTCTGAGGTTATTTCTGTGAATTGGTGTTGAAAATGCAGAAAGACAGTAAGGATTTATGAAATTGTCTACTATAAGAAAGGTAGAGAAAATTGGAGCAGTAAATGTGAAGAAAGAACAATTGTAGGAAGATTTCTCTAGAGAACACATGACTGAGAGACTGTTCTTTTGAAGGAGAAACACACAGTTTCTCAAGTCTTCAAGGAGACCTTCACCTGTTTCCAGCTTTGTTCATTTGCAGTTCTTTGTTTTTGCTGCCTTATAATTTTTCCTTCAAGAAATGTTGACAAAGGCCAACACCACTGTAAAACTGATGAATGAGGTGACACTGCCATCCAAAATGTCCTTGTGTGTGTTTCTCTCACTGCTGTTTTTTCTATTGGCCTTTTCAGTCACAGACACCCACATAAACGATGACCATTCATCCCCCCAAGCTGAAATGAGGCTTCTTAGATTTTTCAAACATCATATGGCAGGCTGCTCTAAAGGACTTTGAGTTCTAGGTCTGCTGAAAAGTAAAAGCTAATCCTTACGTTTAAAAGAGATTTTTTTTTTTTTTTCCTTACAATGTGTTGAAATTTGTTCATCGAGAGAGAAGAAAAAGAATGGTCACTGTTAATTTGCTCTGCTTCAGTGCTACCAAACATGCTGTCTGTATCCAGGACAAGTAGTGTGACGTAATGGTTAAGAAAGCCAACTCTGGAGTATATTGAACTGAAATTAGGGTTGTAAAATGGTGCCTACATAGAGTTACTTCATCTCTCTATAAAATAAGGATAATGACTGTACCTGTCTCGTAGGACCACTGTGAGGAGCACAAGAGTTAAAAAGTAAGGAAAGGGCAGTCAAGTGCAGTCTGCCACGTTTTCCTGTGATCAATGTATGAGAGCCGGATAATGAACAAGGAAGACTGCAGAAGAACTGATGCATTTGAATTGTGGTGTTGGTAAAGAACCTTGCATGTACCACAGACAAGAACAATGAACAAATCTGTCTCAGAAGAAGTAAAGCCAGAATTCTCCTTAGAAGTAAGGATGCCAGACTTTGTCTCTCATGCTTTGGTCATGTTGTCAGAAGGAACAATTCCTAGAGAAGGGTATCATGCTGGATAAAGTAGAGGGTCAGCCAAAAATGGGGAAGAAACTCAACAAGGTGGACTGACATAGTGGCTGCATCAATGGCGTCAAGCACAGCAATGATTGTGAGGACGGCACAGGCCTGGGCAGGGTTTCATGCTGCTGGGTACAAGGTCGCTATGAGTTAAAGTCAACTCGATGGCACCTAACAACTACAGCAATGAATGAACCTCGTGCTTAGGACCAGAAGTGCCAGTCAGCCTTCTTGGATAAGATGAGAATGTGGGCTGACTCTTTTTTCTGGGGCATCCTGACCCCAAAAAACATCCCATGGTAGCTGATAGGTTATCAACATATCCCACCCCTCTTGTCCTGAGCACATGTCAAGATTCTCAGGAAGCACT